GTTCGTGCTTCCGAATATACAAGTGCGCGACGGATGGAATAAGGCCTTCGGTGTAGAGTTACTTATTAGAAAATACCAACCGAACAGTTACAAACTATTGGACAGGGAAGCAAAACTCTCATATGCATCTTGTTTACAAAAACTGAATATCCATCTTCTTCTTCAACGCGTCTTTCTGAACTTTCCTGGATATTCATTGACTGGTACTCAAATGCATGCAAATGCTACAAAGCGACCCCACAAATTCCGTAATAGATCTCAATTTTCAAGAGAAGCGAAGCGGATTTACGAGAGAACGTACTACTCATATGCCTCCAGTCAGTAGTATCACCGTTACACCGGTAGGAAGGTGGTACATCATGATGGTTGGTTGGAAGCGTCGTGAGATCCGGTACTTGGAAAAAGCCTATTGGCTGAGCAGAATGACGCTCATGTCCTTAGACGATTGCATCATGAGGGATGATACGTCACTGTCTCTCAAGGGCGAGATAAGAATAACCTAGTTCAGTCAGAACGACTTTGATCTACCAGTTTAGATCACCGTAGTCAGGAAAATGAAGGCGCATAACATATTACAGGCTGTTCTGTGGAGATACTTTCGAAGATGCTGTGAGGCAGCGTTCACACAGCCTGGAAGCACACCAACGTATGCAGCATGGATCATTCTTCTTTGTCAAGTCCAAGTTGTTTTTTAGTCAGCCAAGCTTTGTAACGAGCCATCTAACCTCTTAGCCAGACAGGGGAGGTGTTAAGACGCAACACATGTAGAACTGCTCGATAAATCGATCCTGTTAAATGTTCATAGGTGCAGCGGAGTGGTGATTTCTTGCTCAGTCATCATAATTTATGTCATCAACAAAACGTCGAAGTGAGTTGCAGCAAGACGACAAACAAGAACATTTACCAATTTTTCGCAGGTACTATAACAAAAAGTTGTACGTACATTATGAGGATGGGGATCGGCAGTCAGCTCGAAGGATCCCTCGCAGGTGATTTTAACTTTTCTGCAATTCGTTTGATTTCTGGTCGTTCTAACCAGTCCGAATGAGATGCTAGAGACAACAGCTCCTCAACATTCTTTGCTCAGTATTGTAAACGCTTAACCAGTGTCCATTACCTCCCTTCTCTAAAGTTTTCTCGACGCAAAAAACGGAGAATGTTAGGCTGACATCAGTCCCAACAACCATCAGGTTTGACGAGGCTGAAGAAAACGTTGCGGCGAACGAAGACAGACTCTACTTACTGAATGCAGACCAAGGCAAAGTAATCTCAGTGGACTTCACAGTGTTCAACGTAAGTACTTTTATTCTTCCAGCGGTTCTTCGCTGGTAAATAGCCGGCAACGCTAATTTGATTTGGTGGTGACTTGGCAATTCAGGCTAACAATTTCAAACTGTCCCACACAGTATTTCGAACCCAATACCCATTTACAGATTCAAGGAATATCGATTAGGCAGGAAGTTTGATTTCAAACAGCGATCAACATTTTCAAACAATCTGAATCAATAAAACCTATCGAATCAATTGCAATTTCACTCACGCATTTCAAATCACGTGGTCACGTGTTGAATGGCTCTCTGCTTGACGTCTTCTTATATGGAAGGCTCACTCAGGTCGTGAATTAATTTTCTTTTTAAGCTATTTTCGGTTTGTTCATATTACGAAAAATTTTGAAAACTCCAAACTAGNCTAGATTCCACCAAAAAGCCGGGAGCCACTGCATAGTTGTTTCATCTTTGCGCATCTCGCGACTTTCTAGTGGAATTCGAAAACGCAATCTCCCGATTACTAGCTAAAGATTATTACAACGAGGGTAAAATAGTCATACAGTTCTTCTCGGTCTTTCGACATGCAGTGATTCGCCTACAAGACAAAGGCTTGGCTGAAATATCTAAAGTTCTTGATGTCCCTGACATGGAGTCACACGTAAGTTTGACGCGCCCGAATATCAAAATATCAATTGTTCACGTTCGTGGCGTCAACAGATTCACAAGTCTCTCACTGACCGCGGCAGTGCAGCGTCAAGGTCCGCAAACCAGACATCATCATCATCACCATCATCAACACCATCATCATAAACATCATCATCATCATCATCAACATCATCATCCTCAACATCGTCATCCTCATCA